ATGGAAAACCAGATTGAAAGGTATCTGTGAAACCAAAGTAATCCACTCCAGACCAATAGGACTGTCCATGCACTGCCCCACTGTGAGGCTCCCTAGCTGTATCCAGGCACAAAAATAGATGTGAAGAGTCTACCACTTGGTGGAAGTGGCAGCCACCAAAAGATACAGCTTCAAGAAACTGAGGTGAAGGGCTGTGCTGTGGACAGAAAATGAACACAGATGCTCCTGAGTGGCATGGGGCAGGGGCCAATGGCCCAGGTGTCACTTCCACCATCCTGGCTGATCCCCAAGAAGAGAGTCAGTCTATTTTAAGGATTTGTTTGATCAGTCACATAGAGCTACTTTTTAAAAGAGCTATTTACAAAGCTCCCTGCAAAACAAAAGGTGAGTATACTTTGCCCAGTAACTCTTTAAACCAAAGCAAACATGCAGAAAGGTGCCATAGGTGCACTCTGCTCCGTTCTTACTTACTGCTTTGGTCACCTGATTCCCAAGGTTCCTGGTTGATTCCTTCCTGGGGATTAAGGTGAGAAAAAGCAGCTGATGATATTGAAGGACAGAGGACTCTAAACAAGAAGGTTAGGAGCACTCAGCAATTCTCTTCTTAAATGATGAGGCCTTGGTTGTTTTAGGAAGGTCAAGGAGCTTGAACGGGCAAAACTCTGGAATCTGAAGTCTGGGCCCTTCAGCAAAAATGCATCCCTTTACCTATATTTGAGAATTCTGTACTAGTAGATGGTAAGTAACACTAAATATGTCATATTGGAATATTGCTGAAACTAGAGACCAAGACATGGAGACAAGTCCAGGAGTGCTAAATTGATATCAAGGGGTTTTAAGACTTGTGACAGTGCAAGTGAATGGAACTTAATACAAACTGTCAGAATAGTGGGGTCCCAGCTCCTCCACGGATCACCTCAAGCCTTCCTTACCTCTCAGCCTCTAAGCTTTCCCAACCCATTGAGTCATGTAAGCAGAGGAAAACTTTATGCAACCTGCCCTGTGTAATTTATCATCTTGCCTAAGGCATGTTATGATATCAAAGTGATGTATATATGTATGTACATATATATGTGTATATATGATTAAAAAGTATGCATATATATGTATATATATCAAAGCAAATACTACGAGGCACTATATACAAATACTAAAGAATGAATAGTGTTTTATAACTGCAGACTAACCCAGGAATAGTGGTGCACTCCTATAATCCCAGCAGTCAGGAGACTGAGCCAGGAGAATCACTGAGAGTTCAAAGCTAGCCTGGGATTCATAGTGAGTTCAAGACTACCTGGAGTACATAGCAAGACTGTCTCAAAAAAAGAAAAAATTCAATAAATAAATAAAACTGCAGGCTACAGGTAGGTGACAGGCCAGTGTAACCCAGAGCACACAACACACTGCTGCAATGTGAATCAAAGCCGTGAGCTTAATGTCCAGTGCTTTCCATAGCCAAGCCCCACCTTCCCTTGCAGCCTTACCTCCTGGGACTCTACAGTCAAACCAGACTGTCCCTTAAGCTCACCTTGCTCCATGGGTGATGTTTTTACCACTCAAAATGATTGTTCCTTTCTTCTCTGTCTCTGAATGCTAACCATGTTTCAAATCTGCTTGCTCTTTCTCTTGATCCTCCAAAACCTTTCCAGCCCTTCCAGCTCCCACAGACCCTCATGATTCCTGTACTTGAAGCTGTCTTAATCTGCCAGTGATCACTCCAGCTTGTTTGTTCAACAGTGGTACACAGTCTTGTGATAATTCTATCAATGATAGCTCTATGGCTGAGTGTCCTGGGCTGCTGCAGGCTGTCCCTCCAATCAGATTATCTTCTCCTTCAGAGTTATAGCCTTGAATGTCCTGCAGCCTGTAGCAGGGGCCTTAACTTATGGTAGATAGTCAATAACTATTTGTGAAAAGAATGACAATATAGAAAACTTTTTGATGCTCGACTGTGTTTCTAACTTTATTCCACCTGAAAGAGTAAGAGAAGAGACATTTACTGAGGGTCTATCATGTGCGTTTGTCCAGGACTTTTGAAATGTCTTATCATTTAAATTTCATCCCTTTCTGAGAGGTAAGTATATCACCTTCTATTTGCATAGTAAGAGAATGAGACTAAAAGAGGGTCAATAACTTGTTCAAAGTCAGTTGACAATGGTGAGATGGAATGAGAGGTGACTGTGGGTATGCCTGATGCAGAGCACATTCCTCCTTCGACTGCACTGCTTCCACCAGAATGTCCACTTGTGGGCAGCTTGCTAAGTCTTCCTGGAAGTCTATCTCATGGGCTCTCCGTGACTTTCACTCATCTCTCCATGCACTGCCCATCCCTTCAAGCCACCTTCAAAGAATAAAATTTCCTATATTCCAATGGATGCTTTCATATTTCCACATAATTCTCTTGAAGTTCCTTAGCCTAAAATTTTTCTTCCATCTTTTCTACTTGTGGATTATCTTTGAAATCTCAATTGAGTGAATATGCCTTCCATGAACTTTTCTGTTCTCTCTCTCTCTGTGTCTCTCTGTGTCTCTCTGTCTCCCCACCATCACCACCCATCTTTCTCTCTCTCTCTCAGTACTGGGGATTGAAGCCAGGACCTTCACACTGAGCTACATCCCTAGCCCTTTTTTTGAGACATGGTATTGCTGAGTTACCCATTGTGATGGATGATTGATTGTGTCAACTTGAGTAAGAGAAGCTCAATTAAAATGGCTCAGCAGTTCCGTACCCTAGGACTTGTCACCTGGATGGTATAAAGGGGAAATGAAGAAGGATGAATCTCCTTCTGTTTCTTCAGAGGAGCTCTGGTCTTTGCCTTCACCTTGGATATCATCTCCTAGTTTCTAGCATAGACCCTTCAGCCTCCCATCAAAGACCCATTTGCCTCCTGACACTGACTCACATGGGACACCAAAGTGAGCTCCAGATATTTGACTGGATCCTTTGGCTCTCCAGTGTGCAGACAGACCTTTTGCACTCTTCCTCATCCGACTCTATGGGTGGCCATTGTAAACCAATCTTGCAAATTCTTATATATTTGTTCATCTTGTATTATATTTCACTAGTAAACACTGACTGATATACCCATGCTGGCCTTGAGATCAGGATCCTCCTGTCTCCACCTCCCTAAATGCTGGGATTCCAGATGTGCACGACACCCAGCTAAACGATCTCCTTTACAGCTTAGAATTCACTTCATGTGGATGCACTTTTACACGACCAGAACTGTGGTGGGTGTACCTACAGGAGTATCAATGCCAACAGGTCAGAGCTGCCTGTGCTAACACACAAGGATGGCACGTTGCCAGGCAATAGGAATTTTTGATGGTAGTGTAACCTTGTGAGACCACTGTCCTGTACTCAGTCTATCACTGACTGAAACATCATTCCCATCTGAAAATAGAAACTACTTCCTCCTAATGGAATGCAAGGTGGGCCCAGTTCAGCAAACCCAAGAAATTGGATGAGCCTCAACACGATGCAAGCTTAGAAGCATCTGGGTCATCCAGTGCAGGTCTTTAGAAGCCATCACATGGGCAGCAGTCTAAGGAGCAAATTTTGTAGCATGCTACCTTGAAGACGGGGCTTGAGAGTTTCAATTCTGTATTCCTAGTTACTGGCAGGGAGCCTAAGACATGGTAGACACTACATGTTTGTAAATATGTACCATGCTCGCTTGTCTTTCTCTCTTTTTTGTGGGGGGGATACTGGGGATCGAACTTGAAACCTTGCACTTGCAAAGCAGGTGGCAGCACCACTGAGCTAAATCCCTGGCCCTCTTTCTCTCTTTTTATCCTACATCTTTCTCTTTGTTTTCCTCCTTTCCCATCTTCTTTGTGCCTGTTCGGGACTTGTTGAGGTCCTTATCATGAAAGGGGAAGGATTACCTTTTTTTCTATTGTTGCCCTCCAGGACCTCTATTCCAGGCACTACATGGATGGCTTTGTGCAATATTAAATCCTAAATTCCATTTACCAAAAACTGGTGGTTACCTGGATGTGAGGCTGCATGCCTGTAATCCCAGCACTAGGGAGGCTGAGGCAGGAGAATTACTGCATGTTTGAGGCCAGCCTAGGCTACATAATGAGTTCAAAGCCATCATGAATTACATAGTGAGAACTTGTCTCAAAAAACCAACAGAAACTAGTCATTTTCTTGTTGTCTGGATGTCCAGAATAGTCACCTCTTGGGTAATCCAGCCTTGCTCCTCTTTACCCTCATTTTTCCTCTCATTTCTTTTTTTAATCCCAATGAGTTCAGTCCTTCATAGTCTAGCTGCTGACCCCAGGCTGAAAACCCTGGGTCTTGGAGCCATTCCCTGGGAACTCTCCCCATACCTGGGTCTGGCTTTCTGATGTGGCTTCACAGCTACTGCTGGTTGCCCTTCCCTCCTGCACCCCACTCTCCTGCTCTGTACTAGCCCAAAGACCTCCGAATTCTACCCATGCTCTGCTCATGTTGTGGGAAAGTGAGACAGTTCAGCATTATAGCCAAGTGTTACAGCTCTGTGTTACAGCTACAGCAATTTGAAGACACAAGTATCTGAAAGTCACTCAAAGAGGTGGAGAAAAGCCAAGCTTTATTAAGCCAGCTGGCTCAGAGGAGTTTAAGCACTTCAAATTCTGAGCCCCAAGTTGTAGTGAGAGTGAGTTTATATAGAGTTGGTTAAAGGAAGTTGAGAGGAACTTTTTAGGGTGAAGACATAGCTAGAAGTGGGAACCTCTGGAGGTGGAGTTAACAAAACATTCTGGGTTTTTTTTGGTACTGGGGATTGAACTCAGGTCCTTGCACTTGCACAGCAGGTGGAAACCACTAAGCTAAATCCCTGGCCCTAACAGAACATTCTTGAAACCTTAGGTAGAAACATCATGCTTCACGTACAAACAGTTACGTTTATTGAACCAAACATTTTATGGCAAAAATGGGGCAGGGGGTAAAGGCCTGCCCTGTTGTGCATTATTTCCTTATCACCTGGGAACTGGACACATGGTTCTGAGGTGGCCTTTGGGCTGTGCTGGCCACCATCTTCCTGGAAAAGGGTCCATTCTGTTCTGCAGTTGCTAAATTAGGGAAACCTAGGGAATTGGGACAATAAAGGATAATGTAGAAGAATAATCTTGGCACTCTCAGGGAAACAGATAAAACTCCTGCATCCAATTCTGTTTTGTTTTGTTTTTGTTTTGCAGAGCTCATGTTGAATCATTTTGTTTTCTTTAGCATCAAAACATATACCCACATAGTTTTGAGCCTGGCCCCTGCTGTCAGATAAGTTTCATACTCTGTCCCAGAGAAATTTCTCTGGTAAAGGGGTGGGGGGTTTTAGAGGGACAGTGAACAGCTGCAATTCATCCTTCTGTGTCTACCTCCTCCTCCCTGCTTCCTGCGCCACAAATCTCAACTGGAGAGCTTGTCCCTCACAGGACAGGTGTTTGATCCACCTGCCTTCCTGGTGTGTGTGTGTGTGTGTGTGTGTGTGTGTGTGTGTGGTTGCTGTTGTTGTTCTTGAGTGAGGATGTTAATGTTCTCAATGCTGATTCAATATTAATGCTCAGATAAGAACATAGTCTCAGGCAAATGTCTGTTCCTAAGCTGTTGGTCACTGTTTTGGAAAAATTTTTACTGGGAAATATTCAAAAGAATGCCAGTGGATGGAACAGGATATAAAATGGTAGATATCATATTTTATAGGCAGAGATAGAGACAAGCAATGAACAAAGAGCAAAAAGAAATACATCAAATTACCAGGGTAGATTTTCTCCAATCGTGGAATTATGGGTGATCTTTGCCTTCTTTTTTCCTGTCCAAGTCTTTTACTGTGAGCAAATGTGACTCTAGTAATGATGGGTGGGAGAAATAAATGTTTTAATTTGCTTCTTAAATAGAGATCACCTTGCCTTACTCACCCCCTCAGCAGGAAGCCCAGTAAAGCTGAGTGAATTGATTTCAAAAGCCCTCAGGTCCTCCTACCCACATCACAAGCTCTTCCTGTAGTCTAGCAGTGTCCAGTCAATCCCATTACCCTTATCTGAGGGCAGAGGTGAATTGAAAGCCCAGGAGAGGTGGCCTTCAGGAACCAAGCTGGAGACAGGCCTCAGGGCCACCAGGGCTTTTTCCAAAGAGGTTAAAGGAGTAGGAAGAAAACAAAACAAAGGACCTGTCTTTGTTACTTTTCTTGTTGCTGAGAAAAAATACCTGACACCTAAAGTTAAAGGTGGAAAGGCTTATTTAGCACACAGTTTGAGAGGTTTTAGTCCATAGCTGGCTGGCTCCAAGGCATAGTGGCACATGGCAGAGGGGCTTTACAGAGGAGAACAGTTCACTGCACACAGAAGACAGCAAAAACAAAAAGGGGCAATCACAGCACTTTCTGTCCTTTATATCTTATCCAGGATACCTGTCCTTTGGGCAGGCAGCACTCATATCCTTAATCCTAGTGCCCTTGATTCATTGTACGATGAATCAATTCAAACATCACACACTCTAGATCCAGCCACCTCTGAAAAAGCCCCACCTATGACTGCATGAGGCCTTGGGAGAACATCTAGACACAAGCCATAACAGGAGCCCAGAAGAGGGTTTCTAATAAAGAATGGAAAGTGCCCCATTCAGGAGCTGGAAGGAGTTCAGAGAATAGGAAGAGAATGACTGGAAAAGAACTGAGGTCTGGAAACAACATACAGCTGGAGGTCAGCTCCTCCTTAGCTCAGAGACTTCCACTCTTCGGTCAGATGTTTTGAGCTGCCTTTGTCTCTCATCTTTCTCACCTCCAACCCAATTTAATTGCATCATCTTCAACTGAGCTTGTTTGCCCAGGGCCTGTAGTTACTGTTGCCCTGGTGACAGTCACACCCCCAGTTTGAGAGAGAACTAGCTTATGAGGTCAGGGAGGAAGTGGGGGGGAGGCAGAGAAGCAACGCTTGGAACAGACTTTGCAGAAGCTCTTAGAGGGTGTTGCATGCCACCCACCTCTATACTGTCACTGGTCTACTCGAGCCACTGTTGGTGCAGGGCTCAGAGAGGGTGACTGTCCAAGGAGAAAAACTGATGAGGCAGAAAAAAGGGAAAGGCAGCCGGGGATTTAGCTCAGTAGTGCCACCGCCTGCCTTGCAAGCACAAGGTCCAGAGTTCGATCCCCGGTACCAAAGGAAAAAAGGAAGGACAGACACAAAAGTGTTGTAGTGATTCCTACAAGAAGAAATGTCCACTTCTGCATTTATGTCTGGATTCTCTTGAAGCAGCCATTCGTTGACATTGTTCTTTAGATGTTAATGCCAGATAGATTACTTATAGAAGTTAAATATACATACCTAAAACGTTTGTGTGTGTGTGTATGTGTGTGTGTGTGTGTGTGTGTGTGTATGAGTATAGATAGAGGGAGGGTGGTATGGACTGGGGATGGGGAAGGGAGGAGACTTCCTGGAAAATGAGAGGATTAACTGCATTGTTCCGAATTCCTGGAGAAAAGAACAAGATAAAAAATTCAGGACAGCATTTTAAGATTTGGGAGATTTTGATCAGATCTTCCTGTAGCTGGATATGACAGGATCTTTTCTTTGGTCCTCTTCATTGCTAATTTTTCTTTTGGGAAAATGTACTTCTTTTTGATAAAAATGTCTGTATTCTTGAGAAATATAACCTAGCACATATAATTTTCACAGCAATGACACTTGGCCATGGGGGCAGTGCCATGTGGTGGTAAGAATATGGGGCTGGGAACCAGTCACCGGCAAAAGCCTGACTCTGACAGATACAGTCACCTAAGGAGTTGATCACCTGTGAAGAAGGGATGACCCTGGTTCCTCCTTCACACGGTGGTTCTGAGCAATACCAAGAAGAACGTGTCTGGCCCTAAAGCAGAACCTGGCATGTGGCTGGCACTCAGAGGGCAAGGGCTTCTATGATCAGGTCATAAAGTCAGCACTTGCCACATGATTCCGCTCCAAATATGACCACTCTGCATGGAACAGTGATGATCCACACATGAGAGTGAGGAAAGAACCAGATGTGACGTGCAAGCTAAGTTCTACCTGTTGTCCTTAAGTTCAAGAACTGAGAGTAGTTTTCACATTTTTAAAGAGTTGGGGGGAAAAAATTAAGAAGAATATTTCATGCTGTGTGGAAAGTATATGAAATTCAGATTTCAGGGTCCATAAATAAAGGTTTTCTGAAATATAGTCATGCTCACTCATTCATGTATTTTCTGTGGCTGCTTTTGTACTCCGGACACACTGCCGAGTAAGCATAGTGAAGACGTAGGACCCACAGAAATACTTCCTGCCAACAGGAAAAGTGGTCAGCCTTGCCCTGGAGGAACCATGGCCCAATACCAGCCCTGCTTCCCACCTCCTAAACAGAGACAATACCTTTCCCACTGTCACCAGAAAGCCCTTGCCAGAGCACCCATCCACCACTTGGCTCGTTCTCCTCCACCTTAACAGCAGCTAGCTACCCTTTGGAAAGGTAAGCCAAGATTAGGTTATAAAGCATGACTCTTATTTTCTGAGCAAGCACTTGGGGGTGGTGTAATTCCAGTCACCCCTACTGAAAAAAGCTCAATGTGCTCTTTGTTCTCCAGCCCTTGAGCTTCCATTCTTATTACTATTTCTCAGGGCCTGCTGTGTCATTTTTGAGCTGGCTCAGTGGGAAAAACAAGAACCAGACTTTATCTACACCTTTAATCTGTTGACTGGAAAGGGGTCAGAGAGAGAGCATGAGGAAAAACATTAAAATATATACATATTGCATGCTTCCTATGTGCCAGGCACTTTGGAAATTACAATAATTAGTAAGTGAAAGTCCCTAGGAGAGGGAGAGGAAAACAAAAAGGCAAATGGTTATACAACATTGTAGCCGCTGCTGTAATGGAGGAATGCACAAAACTTCAGGCACCCTGGGATGCTGAAGTAGAAGGATCACAAGTTCAAGCCAGGAGGCTTAAACTCAGGGCCTGGGATTTAGCTCAGTGGTTCTGCTAGCACAAGTCCTGAGTTTGATCCCCGGTACAAAAAAAAAAAAAAAGGAAACAGGGTGGGTGAGGGCTTCACTCTCTAAACTCTATGATACAGGAAAACAGCAAGTGGCAAAACAAAGAGTCAAGCCATGTATGTGTTCAAGCAGAATGAGTGTGCAGTAGTAGACTCCTGGAAATAAAGTGGAACTACACTGGGAAGGACCTTCTGTCCACAGCTAGGAGGAGGGATTCTAGCTAGAGGGAATGGGAAGTCTAGATAGATGTTTAGCAGAAAGAATCAAACACACACTTTCAGAGTGAGCACTGGTAGCAACGTGGAAAATGCACTGACATAGAGAAAGCTTGTATTTAAAAAATTAAAAAAACAAAAACAGGTCATGGGGCATGGAGAAGGGTGGTAGGAAGAATAATCCTGGATACAGAGTTAATAGACTTCACAGCATATAAAACTGTTCAGTGAAGAAGAGGAACCAGCTCAAGGATGAACCCCAGGTTTCTTATGTGGTCATCTGGACTGATGTTGGTGCCATTAACAGAAAAAAAATGATAGAGGGGTGGGGATTACGTTGCGGATGAAGAGGATACTTAGGCATAATTAATTTGGTATTCAATTTGTGGACTATGGCATAGTTTTAAGTCATCCACATGAAGAATCCAGTAGGCAATTACTGATATTTTGGTCTACAGCATAGAAGATGTAGGAGCTAGAAGTATACATTTAAGAATCATCAATATAGTAAAATAGAGCTAGGATCTATTGTTCTATAGCACTGTGGAGTGACTAAAGTTAACAATAATTTATTGTGTATTTCAAAATAACCAGTAGGAAGATTATGAATGTTTCTAACATTAAATAAAATGAATCCAGGTATAATGACACATACTTATAATCCTACCACTCTGGGAGACTGAGGCAGGAAGATTGTAAATCTGAGCACAACCTAGGAAATTTAGCAACTTGATAAGACTGTCTCAAAATATTTTTTAAAAGGGGCTAGTGATATAGCTCAGTGTGAAGGCTCTGAATCCAATCCCCAGTATGGAAAAAGAAAAGGAGAGCAGAAGTGAGAACAAGAAAGGAGAGAGAAGGGGAGGGGAGGGGAAGGGAGGAGAGGAGAGGAGAAGGGGAAAGAAAAAGGGAAGAAAAAAATGGAAGGAAAGAAGGAAGGAGGATATTTGAGGTGATGAATATGCCTTGATTTGATCTTTGCACATGATATATTTATATGTGTTGAAATATCACACTGTACTATGAATATGTACATTCATTATGTCAATTAAGAAACAAATCATCAGTAAATGATATACAGGAATAGAGGACAATACTCAGTAAATGTGGAAGGAAAAAATTACAACTATACTAGCATTTAATAGGGTGCAAAGCAAGAGAAGCCAACTAAAGATAGAAAGCCCAAAATGAAAAGTGTTAACAAAGCCATGGAGAAAAAAATTTCAGTTTTACCTCCACTTGAGAAGAAAACAAAAGATTGAAATCCAAAGAGCAAAACCTCCTCCAATCATGGGTTCCCCTAAGACCTCTTGGAATTTTGTAAAAGGACAAATGTTACCTTGAAGAGTTCTAAAACCCATTGGTCTATCTCTAGAACACAGGATTTGTGAATTGGACAGCAGAGGTGTTTAAAGCAGACAACTGGTATCGGTGAGCACCAAAAGAGGCTACTGGGTGTGGGAAGGGGAGTCGTGGCCCAGGCAGAAGCAAGATGAGGGGAGGAGTAGAACAGAAGACAAATGTCCAAGGTCTGGGAGTCAGCGGGTTTGCAGAACTAGAAACAGGGAGCAGAGAGCACTTTCAAGAAATAGCATTTCCACAACTATATTCTCATTCTCTCTCTCTCCTCTCTCCCCAGTTGTCTGTCTGTCCTACAAAATACCTCTGCTTTCAATTCATGGGGTGCTCTGTTCTGGAAATTGGCTTTTTTTTTTTAATAACTCTCTCTGGTGACGTTTGCCCTTTCACAAATTGCCAAGTGGGTCATAAGAGAACTCATGGTTTACATGGTTTTTCCTCTTGCAGAAAAAGTGTTTCGGTTCTGCTAAGGAGAGCTCTTGTGGATCTACCTGAGGAGTCAGCTCCCCTCACTCTGTATGGTAGGCACCTGTGAAGATAGCAAACAGGCAGCTGCACTCTCTGATTTACTTCTAAGACCAAGTTCCCATTTTTGCTTAACTTTAGACAAAGAGCAGAGAACTTAGGGTAATGTGTGCTATTCTCCCTAAGACCTTATTCTCCCATTTTATCTAGCAACCTTAAACATCTCATGTTCAGCATCAGGTTCTTCTTGGCAATCCTGCAGGCCAGGTTACCCTCCTAGGTCAGACTGCCCCTTGCCTTGCACTCCTATGCCTAGTGTAGATTGCTTGAGGTCTATGTCTCCTACCAGAAGTATAAGCACCCGTCAGGGCAGGAAGCTGGGCTGGCTTTTCATTAAAACTGACCTAGCACTGAGCACAGAAAATGACTAGTGTGTTTCTTTATTCACTTATTCATTCATGCACTCAACATGTAAGTAGAAGAAAGTATGATATATAGAAAGGCTCTTTAGAAAATATAAGACAAGATCAAAATATTTGGAATATTTTCTGCAGAAAAGGAAAATTCAATGTAAATCTAATCAATTTTTACAAAAAACAAAACTCCAAAAATTTCACAAAATATTGCCTTTATAATAAAGGATAATATTGTTATTTTACATTATAAGGAGTCAAGCAGGTTCTTTTCTTTTTCTTTTTTTTTTCAGTATGCAATCAAACCCAGAGGTGTTCTGCCACTGAGCTATATCCTCAGTCCTTTTTATTTTTTATTTTGACATGGCCTCAAAATGTTGCTCAAGCTGATTTCAAAACTGATCCTCTGTCTCAGCCTCCTGAGTGGCTGTAATTACAGGTCAGTGCCTCTGCACTTACCTCAAGCAAATTCTTGTTACATATTATCTCAGTATCTTAATAACCAAATCATTATATTAATACATTAATCAATAATATACATATGATATTAGATATATCATTATAAAAGAACTGCTAGGCCAAATAGCAACTTCTCATCCCCAATAAATTGAAGAGATAAGATCTTACAACAGACTCAAAACCCAAAAGCTAGCTACACCTGCAAAGCATCTCTGAGAAGTAGTCATTTCCTAAGGGTTCTAAATACTAGCAATAAAGCTA